CTGCCGGCTGCCCGGCCCCGCAGCCCGCCCGGCCCACGCTGCCCACAGCAAGGACCTAGAGGTCTCCCTCCGCCATGACGAGGAGAGCCCGCCGCCCGCCCCAGACGCCACCGGCCTCGGCCCTGCGGGGCAGCGGTGTCCGACGCACGTGAGCAGTGAGCACACACACGAGGCAGCTCTCGGGCCTTTAAATGTAGGTGCCGGCCGGCCCCGAGCCGGGGGAGCAGCAGTCCAGCAGGAAGAGCAGGAGGGACGCCAGGGCGCAGAGGCACGCACCTGTCGCGCTCAGGGGCGCGCGCCACGCGGCCTCCGCCCCCGCCGCGGCCTCGCGGGCCGGCTCCCACGCGTCATCATACGCCTCGTCCTGCCCCTGGGGCCCCTCCGGGCTCTCCTCCTCCCCCGCGGGGGCGGCTCCGATGTCCTCGTAGATGCCTTCCGAGGGCAGGCTCCGGGAAGAGCCGGAACCTGCGAGGGGAGCCTGTGGCAGCCTGGGGCCGCGGCCGCCCCCATGCCAGGCGGCCGGACCCGAGAGCCCCCCAGATCGCTGCGCGAGCCCTGTGCTCACTCGCAGGCAGCCGGGGCTGTGGCCCACCCAGGCTGGGAGCAGGGCCCAGGCCCTGCCCCACCCTCAGGGGTCCAGACCACGAGCAGTCAGTCCCACAGGCCCGCTGGCCACACGCGGCAGCACCCAGGATGGACACGGCCCAGGCCCCGCCCCCAGCCCAGGGGCCTGTGTTAACCTCGACAGCCGCGACCCCTGCAGACTCCTCGGCCACAGCACCACCGAGTCCCCAGGGCCAGGGAGACGACCCCCAGGAGGGCGCCCAGAAGGGAGCAGAAGGTCATGGGTACGCTCCCAGCCTCCAGGGCAGGTCGGGGGGCCAGTGCAGGGCCTGGGGACAGTGAGAGGCGGGTCTACCCTGCTGCCTGTGCTGCGGGCTGTTGTGACCTGGGGGATTGTGACCTTGATGCCCACCGTGAGCCCTGGGGGGAGGGGCCAGAGGACACAGTGACCCTTGCCGCCCTCCCCAGAGCTGCCCCAAGGAGCCCCGGCAGCTGTCAGAGCGGTCTGTGCCGGACACAGCCGCAGTGCCCGGGCATGTCCCCCTTCGCGTCCTCCGCGAGGCCACAGCACCTTGGCCCCAGCCCCGTCAGCCAGGGAGGGGGCAGAGGGGACGTCAGACCCGCCCAGAGAGGGTGCGACTCTGCCGGCGCCGCTCGCGCTGCAGAGCCCCCCAGGGACGCCCCTGGGTGGGATGGCCGGGCGGTGGGGGAGGGCTCACCCACCTGATGCCAGCGGCCGGCCAGAGGGCCCCACAGGGGCGGCAGAGGTAGGGGCGCCTGCAGAGAAGCATGAGGAGCCGGCCATGGGGGTGCTGAGGAAGCCGGGGCGCCCCTCCCGCAGCCCGCGCACCCCACTCACGGGAGCAGAGCACGCCCGCGTCCTCCTTGTGCCCGCAGTCTCCATGTCCCCAGGGCGCCGCGGGGCAGCGCCCCAGAAAGGCCTCGCTGCCCCGGCACCCCACCTCATCCAGCCACACCGGACCCGC